AGTAAGTTTATATTGTTGTAAGCCCTATATTTGTGGCCGTTGTTATAGCAGCAATTGGAAACTAATACATTGCTCTCGCACCAGGTCCCTGCAGGCAGGAAGAAGGGGAAGGACAAAGCACCATAGGCCACTGATGTCAGCCCTCCTCCTTTTAAGGAGCTTTCCTAGAAGTTTCCCCCAACAGTTTCTACTTACATCTCACTGGTCAGAGCTGCCCTGTGGCCACCCTTCTCTTTAGTGGAAGCTGGGATGGGTACATTTTCAGCTGAGCCCGTTGCTACCCCTAACAAAATGCGGATTCTGTTAGCATGGAGGAAAGGGAGGATAGATACTGGGCAGGCAGGCAAATTGGCTGGAGTCCAGCCACACTCCCAGGCAGAGCTGATACATCCACAACACATTGTTCTTTCTTTTACGACGGCCGTGTTTGGGTGTCATATAATTTATGTGTATACCTGGCTGTTCTCCTCACTTGACCGAGAGTGCTCAAGCGCAGACACTGTGGCTGATTTAGCTATCTGTCCCTGATGCTCAACCCAGGGACTGATAGAGAGAGGCGTTTGCAAGCAGTTGGATGGATGCATGCATAAATGGATTTTGAAATGAGAGAATGATCGATGCTCTTCCCAGAGCCATAGACTCTTTGTATTTCCTATGCGGATGGTCTGTTTGGGTTAGGGAGACTCTGTAAGACCGGCCATGCTTGCAACTTCAGCTCCAGTAAATTAAACCTACACAGCTGCACTGTCACCTTTCCTGACCGCCTATTACAGTCTGCTTTTTGCTCCGAAGAAACTGAGAGAGCTGGTCAGAGGCTGTTATGTGCACCTGTCTCAGCCTAAAGCTTGTGTATAAATTACACTTCCTGCCCGTTCTTTATTTTTGGCTCGGCAATATCCTACTTGGCTCCTCCAGGGAAGACTGCATTCGATTTCAGTCATGAAACTACGAAACAGTGGCATTTCCAGCCCGGCTGGGATGACTCTTATTAACCCCTAACACTGTTTCTTGGGATGCTCCTCGGCTCCAACGACTCAGTTTTCCCAAAGAAAAACAGCGGCCTGGGCCTTGCAGCGCCTGAGGACCTGGCCCAAGCCCACATGTGCATTTGCAGAGAAATTTGCTACTTGGTCTGACTTGCTTAGACTTACATACGCTGTCGATTTCCCGCATTCATTTCCTTTGGGTGAAACTTAATTGTTCTTATCTCAAAAGTCTAGTTTCGTTGCTTTTTTTTCTCTCTCTCTCTCTCCCTCCCTGTTCCTTCTCAGTTACCTACTATCATGACCCAAATCTTCATCACCTGAACTATATAGCTGAGAGCCCTGAAACCCATAGTGCCAGGGGCAGGCTGCAGAGACAGTCGGCCAGCCAGTGGGCACCAGGTCACTGAGAATTCTTAACAACTCGGGCTGCTTCACCGGCAGAAGCAAGTTATTTGGAGTTAGCCTTTTATTTATTTATTTTTTTAAGCCAGCCATTTTTAACATGATCTTGTTTATTTTAGAATGCCTACCTCCAAGTCCAGCCAAACAATCTTCATAAATATTGGTAGAATTGCCTGCAAATCGATGGAGTTACCCTTTAACCCCTCACTTGACACAAGAGCAGTGGAGGCCCTGGCTCCTTTCCCGGGCCATAGCCTGTGAATGGCTGCTTTCTTAGCAGCAGGCCAAAGGAGGCATTTAAATTTTTTTAAAATTTTTTATTGTTTAATCCTCACCCAAGGAATGAGGATATTTTCCCCACATTGATTTCTAGAGAGAGTGGAAGGGAGAGAGAGTGAGAGAGGAGAGAGAAACATCATGTGAGAGAGACACATCATTGGTTGACTCCCCTACTGTCCCCCCACTGGGGGGTGGGGGTGTCGAACCTACAACTCAGTTACATGCCCTTGACGGGGAATCAAACCCAAAATCCTCCTGTTCGCCCTGGCCGGTTTGGCTCAGTGGATAGAGTGTTGGCTTGTGGAACAAAAGGTCCCGGTTTCGATTCCAGTCAAGGGCACATGCCCAGGGTTGCAGGCTCTATCCCCAGTAAGGGGCGGGCAGGAGGCAGCCAATCAATAGTTCTCTCTCATCATTGATGTTTCTCTCCCTCTCCCTTCCTCTATGAAATCAATAAAGATATATTTTTTAAAAAAATCCTCCTGTTCTCAGGCCAATGCTCTAACCACTGAACATGTCAGCCAGGGCAAGGCATTTTTAAAAAGCAATTTATTGTTTTTATTCTGCTTAAAGAATACATTATTTTTTTTTAATTGGGAACATGTTAAACAAAATTAAAATCACCCATTTTTTTCTTTTACGAATTTTTTTTAATTTTTAGAGAGAGAAACATCTATATGAGAGAGAAACATCCATTGGTCGCCTCCCACACACACAAAATCTCATCCATCCAGAGGCTATTTTTCTGATGCCTAGGAAAGAAACAGAAAAGGCCTCAGCGGGGTACGGTGCATCCCTAGATAAATCCATGCCTGTGTCTTGGTGTTCCTCAGCCCTCAGAAGACCTCACTCTGAACTATTTAGGTCTTAGTCTAACAGACTTGGTTAGCTGGTTTCCTGCAGCAGAGAGAAGATGGGAGGAGGAGAAGGGAGAGGACTAGTATAGGTAGGCACAGACCCGCAGCAAAGCTTCTAGCATGACAGAGGGGAAAGAGACCAAAAGCAAAATTGAATGAATGAGTGAACAAATAAATTCAGACCAAACAATTCAGGAAGCACAATAGTCTACAGTCCTTTCGGCGGGGACATCCATCCCTCATGACCCCAAAGGCATTGCTACATAATGGTGCCATCCCAGTATGCCAACATACTCAGTGTTTAACAGGCAGGAAAATGGGAAATACTGTAGAGCCCATATGGTAAGAGTTTGGCACAATGGTCAGGAGTAGGGTCTAGAGTTAGACATCCTGGCTTGAATCCTGCTTTGAGGCTGTGCAATAGCAAACTAGTCCCTTGTCAAGCCTTAATGATCTCATCTGTAAAATGGGGATTCCTTACTCCTAGGGTCATTGGGAAGGTAAAATAAAATAAGCCATGTGAATTCTTTGCTCAATTCCTGGCACAGACTTACTGCTCAATAAAAGTTAATTACGATCATTTCATTGAAAGAATACAGCTACTGAGACTTCCCCCAATCATAACGGTCGCTGCTATTGTGGAATATTCCCAGAGTCTCCAGGCAGTGCTGAAATTTCCCTTTCAGGAAATATATATAGGATGGCTGTGAAAACTGAGGAAAGTTCCAGAAGAGTAGGGGTTACTGTATCAGTCCAATTCATCTCCTCTCTTTTGGGTGGTACAGGGAGATGACCGCTGGCCACCAGCCATTTCTTGGCAGCATATTTCCTTTAAGATTGGCTCTTTCTTTCATTTTTATTGTTTTTTATATGTTCTTATTGGTGTTTAGAGAGAGAGGAAGTGGGAGGGATAGAAAGATAGAAATAAAGATGAGAGAGAAACATGAATCAGCTGCCTCCCGCATGCCCCCTACTGGGGATTGAGCCCACAACCCAGGCATGTGCCCTGACTGAGAATCAAACCGGTGACCTCTTGGTTCATGGGTTGATGCTCAACCACGGAGCCACACCAGCCGGGCAGAGTAAGATTGGCACTTCACACTTTGGCTAAGCTGATAGGAGAGCAATTACTCCAAGATAACTGGGAGAATATGAAGCTGTTTGCCTTTAGCTCTTCCGTCCTCTGCTATGTAAAAACATCTACCTCCAAATGAAGCATGTGGGTGTTGAGCATATCACAAAGCGTTTTTGCAAAGTGGTGGCCGTGAACTAGCGGCAGCAGCGCTGGGTTGTTTTCCTTTGGCCAACATGTGCTCAGTGGCAACGCCGAAAACACAGGATGCTCTGTGATGTAAAACCTTGGCCTGGGACCTCAGCGTAAGGTAAAACGGGGACTGGCAGGATGCCCTCTCCCCCCCCAGGAAGGAGCTGCTCTCTGGCCCTGGGGTGGCAGGACAATACAGTAACCCGTCCTCTGTTTGTGTGTTTTCCAGGCTGGAGCAGGAAATACAAGCGCTAGAAAGTGAAGAGTCCCAGATATCCGCCAAAGAGCAAATCATCCTAGAGAAACTAAAGGAGACGGAAAAATCCTTCAAGGACTTTCAGAAGGTGAAGGAAACATGCGATTTCTCTAAACTATAGCCACGGGGAAGTGAGCTCCGGGGAAATGGTGCCAATGGGAGAAAAGGCCAGTTGGTGCTGATGAGAAGGCTGAGCCCCACGCTCTAGACACGAGGGCCAGATGTGCGAGGACAGGGCCAGCTCTGACGCTGAGGGTGGCCTGTCTTCTGGGACCACCTGGCCTGCGGGGGAGGCAGGGAGACTCATTCAATAGTAACCCCATCTCCTACTCTCCATACGTCTAATGCCTGAGAAGTCATCTTCTGTTGGACTCTAGAATCCTAAAACCAATTCTTATGAAGCAGATTAAACATGCTCCCATCACTGTAGTTTAAGTCTTTCCTTTATAAAAAGGCCAGAGGCAAAACCATATCCAATAGACGGGAATTGGAAAAATGAAGCGTAAATATATGAAATTTCACTGTATGTGAAAACAGTCGGTGCCGTGCAGCAAGGAGGTGAGAATCCAGAGAGCCAGGAGGCTCTGTCTCAGGACCTTCCCTCCTTTCCGTAACCCCGTTTCCTCAGGCCCCTCGGCCACAGGAAAGGAATCTAAACAAATTAATTTTCCGATTGGATTTTCTGATATTACTTCTTCAATACGACCAAGGGTATTGGCTGGATAATCGAAAGCAATCTCGACTGGGAGGAATTCGGTAGAAGGTGGGGATGGCAAACCTTTTCCTTAAATCTCAGGGTCCCAAACACATTTCCCAGAAGAGCAGAGAGCATTGGGTTTGCCCATCACAGTCAAAATCTGGGCCTGGCCTGGGGGACAAAGACGGGTTACATGGAGGAGGGGTGATCTCCTCGCATGTGTAGTAACGCTCTGCCCTGCTTTTGTTTCCACAGGGCTTCTCCAGTGCGGATGGAGGTAAGTGTAAGCGCTCTCTGCCCCATCCGTAGACGAATGTTTCCTTCCTGGTCAGCTTAGCTTCAGTAACACAGGCTCGCAGGAGACATGGTGTGTCGGTGTGTAAGGGCATCAGAAAGAGAGTGGCACCTTTCCCAGGGTGCCGAGGAGGCCCACGTCCGGAGCCTTCTCTGCCTTCTTCGGGGACTGTCTCTCAATTCGCTGTTTCTAGCTTATACAACTGGCCTAGCTCTCCTCCTTCCCATTCGTTCCTCAGAGTCCTCTGCTTGGACTTTTCTTGAAAGATGCTCCGCAAAGAGTGTTAACATCAGGACCAGATCTCAGGCAGGAAGGAGCTCATTTGTGCTGGTGGGTAGGTCTCCAGGTCACCACACATTGCACATCGGAAGGCTGTTACCTGTTGTTTCTGCTTTTTCTTTGATTCGGCAACTGCAGTTTCTGCAGCCTTCCAGGGAGGCGGGGTTGGGCAGAACTCTTCTCCCTGGGGGCGGGAAGAGGGGGAGACATGAGATGTGGGAGCAAGGCCCTGGCTTCCTGCCCCCCATCCTGGCAGGAGGGGGCCTTCTCCTTTCTTTTCCCATCCTTGCCTCTGCCTCCGCTCTCCTTCCGTAGGACCATGTCGATGAACTTGGGATTGTGAGCTTCTCATTCTTTACCTTGCTCCCCAAATTGTTAGCTACGAACTTAGGAAACCCACTCGATTCCCACTTTCACTCTGGCCCTCAGCTAGACCTGCTTCAAAATGTGGGACTTGTGGGAAGGATCAGATCCATCTGCTCATCTGGTTCTTTTTTTAAAAAATTCTTTATTGTTTAAAGTATTACATGAGTCTCCTTTTTCCCCCATTGACCTCTCCCCTGCCACCCCCACCCACAAGCACAAGCCCTCACCCCCCTACTGTCTGTGTTGATTGGTTTTGCTCATATGCATGCATACAAGTCTTTGGTTGATCTCTCATCTGGTTCTTATAGAGTCAACCTCTACACTAGGAAGAGAATCAGGAGCCAGAATAGGAGTTGGCATCAGTGTTTGCCCAATATCACCTGGAAATATATGGGGAAAAGGATGGGTAATGTATTTCTCTAGATGAGCAAAGAATCTTGCACTAAGGATAATTCTGACTTCAGAAACAAAAAGTACTGTGTTTTTGGTTCCCCCATCCCCCTCCAAGCAAGTAAAAGGAGAGGACCTAGATTCGGGCTGGCCAGGTGATCTTTGGGAAGGTATTAAATTAAATCTCACTCTCCCAGTGCATGTGGCAGAGACAGGTCAGGGATGAGCCAGCAGAGACTCCAGGAGGAGTACCTATGACAGTTCTAGAACATTCTCTAGGGTGTGGCCAAATAGGGGCTCTTGTTCTGTGCTTTGGAGGTGGAGCATGGTCTGAGGACATGATCTTTCCTGTTTGGGGGGATTTCAGGGGCAGCATGGGAAAAATAGTGGTTTCCTGAGTGCCAGGGAAGACCAGAGGCAGAGTACATGGCTAGCAGGAGTGCAGTAAGTATCAGCTGGGATTGGGCTTGGGACATTAAACCCTAGACACCCATATACCAGAAGGGTGCACACTGACCTTTTATGTATCCTTTCTCTCTCTCTCTCTCTCTCTCTCTCTCTCTCTCTCTCTCTCTCTTCTCAAACCAGGACCTTTCTTGGAATTCTCTCTCTAATTAGGGAAGGGGAAGAGCCTGCATGTCATGTCTCTGGAAGCCTCTGTGGGCCACAGAGACCCACATATTCCATGACATGTTAATAAGCAAAAATGAAGCCTCATTAAAAATGAAGCCTCTGTCTCTTTCATTCTCACTGAACTTCTCTTGTCTTTCCTGCGCTACTTCCCACTATTGTCATCTGGTCACCCAAGCATTTCCAAGAGGGATGAGAAACCTGAGAGCTTGCAGAGAAATTGCCTTTAGGACTCTGTCCTCTGTCGCTTTTTGACAAGATGGGTGACCTCAGAGTTAAGAGGATGTGAAGTTTTAGGGATCCCAATAAATGGCCTTACCTGTCACCCTGGGTTATGATTCCTGCCACCTCTGGTTCTAACTTAGTCAGGGGGCTGGGGGTACTTTTCATCACACCACGTCTACTGGCAAAGAAAAGTCTGAAGGAGGAAACACATCCTTCCAAGAATGCGGCCAACGTTTAGGTCACTCTGTGGTCTGAGGGTAAAAACTGGGGTACGTCCAGGGAAGGGATTGTGAAGCGTCTGCTTACTTTCTGTCTTTCATTCCCAAGGCCCCTTTGACTTCAGACTTGCCAAGACCCTCTTAGAATCCGTCAACTGTTGTTGCTCAAGAACTAACACAAAATGATTGGAGGCTAATAATACCTTAATAAAAATACCCAACTTCTGAAACACGCTGGTTACAGAATCCAAGGCCAACCAGATTATATAACTAACTGTACAAGGACCACAGATAATTAGCAAGAGCAGCCCCAGTGGAATGAGGTGCCAAGGAGATGGCTGTGGGTGTTTGCGGGTGTCATGACCCCACTTCAGGCACCCTGTGACTGCCTCCCCCCACCCCCCCACCCGTGTATGCCAGAGGAAATGAGGGTTCTGTACTGCTGGACCACCAATGGCTTTGACCACATGGTAGCCCTGATAGTCAAGAGCAATGTATTCCAGTCATGAGTAGAATTTCCCGGCCATATACATTCTGAACCCTCCTTACTTCTTCCTCCCCCCACCCCATCTGCACACTTGTTATATGGCGGCATCTTCATCAATTGGGTGGGTGGTTTTTACTGTCTTAAGTAGACACCGTGTCTTGTGTAACTATAAATTGCATACAGTATGTTTCTTTACCCACAGAGGAGCTGATGTGAAACCCTGGATGGGAACTGGCAAGAGAAATATGCCCTGGCCCTACCTCAGCCCTTGCTGTATGACACTGGTGTGTGACCAGTCCATGAGTTCTCACCTGGTCTTAATGTCTTGAGCCTGCACCTCATTTAAATGCAGGAAGTCAGGTTTACTGAGATCCCCATCCACAGATTTCTGGAAGCCACAAGTTCTATAGATCTGCGCTGGTCATCTCTTGTGCCCTAAATTGGCCCTCTCGCCCCAGATTGCTGCTCCATTCTTCCCATGGATCATGGTTAGCAATCTACCCTACCCAGTCAGGACCAGCTGCTGCTCTCCTTGGTCCTGCCTTGTGCTGGTTTGGGGCCCAGACCCTTCCCACAGCTCCCCACAGTGAGAGTAAGGTCTGCAACCCAAGTTGAGGAACACTGGCAGGGCAGCTCAACATAGAAAATAATGTGCAACTTCAGACATGTGGCTGCCCCCAGAGGCCAGGCTCAAATCCCAGCCCATGTTCATGGGGTGCCCCGGGTGGCTTTATGGCCATCTCCCAGCCCACTGCCATCTCCATGGCCCAACTTCCTTCCTTGCAGTCAAGGGTCTTCAACCATGTCTGCCTGGCCCAGGGTCCAAGCTCCAGCATCCCTAGGCCCCAGAGAGAGCCAGTAACCTGAGCCTCACTCCCATCTCAGGCCTGCATACTCCTGATCTCCTGTTCCTTCTCCCCAAGTGGTTGATGTGGAAAAACCCATTTTCTTAGAGAAACTCCGCTCCATCCCCACTCACGGAGTGTGCTTTTTGCACTAAGAACCAAGTGGTCCAATATCCATACATTCGGGATTGTCAGGCTCACACGTGAGTCAGCAATGGTCTAGACCCGTGGTCGGCAAACTGATGCTCGCGAGCCACATCCGGCTCTTTGGCCCCTTGAGTGTGGCTCTTCCTAAGCCTTAGGAGTACCCTAATTAAGTTAATAACAATGTACCTACCTATATAGTTTAAGTTTAAAAAATTTGGCTCTCAAAAGAAATTTCAATTGTTGTACTGTTGATATTTGGCTCTGTTGACTAATGAGTTTGCCGACCACTGGTCTAGACCAGCGAGTTTCGACCTTTCTCATCTCATGGCACACACACACTAATTACTAAAATTCTGCGGCACACCAAAAAATATGTTGTATATTTTGCCAGTCTGACAAAAACATAGGTATAATTTTGATTCATTCATACTGGGCGGCTATTGTTGCGTTGGCTGTTGTCATTTTTTAATTTGACAATCTAAGGGAAAAGAGGTCTGGGCCCTGTCTAAATAGTCAGATATTGCATGATTTAAAAGTTCCTGTGGCACACGGGTTGCAAATCATTGGTCTACTCTGTATAGACCTGAACTAATCCTACTCCTAATGCAGTGTCTGTTTACAATCCTCTCCACCATGAAATTACAAAAAGAAAAAAGAAGCCTGCTAAAACCAACAGGGACACAGGGCACGGGGACGCAGAATATGGGGGAAGCAGCAGACGTGTGAAGATAAGAGTCTGCTTTTGGACATGTTGAGTTTGAGGTGATTGTGAGATGTTCAGTGGACGTAGGTATTGATAAGTGATTGGCATCCCAGGGTCTGGGATATGGTTATGACACAGGAAGAAATCACATCACTCCACTTTTCCACTTCTCTCTGGGGCACACACAGATTCTTCCCCTTGTCTCACCCCAGTGGCTTCCTCCTCTTCTCTGACACTTTGGCACCTGCTGAGATTCATGCCAGCCAGGGTCTCACCTCCCGGAAGAGGCTTGTCAAGGTCTTTTTCCCAAACAGAGCTGGTCTCCCTCCTTTGCTCCATTTCCTGCAACTGAGCTATTGGTGAGCTCATGGGGTGTTGTTATTTGGACTCTTAGGGTTTTCTGGCTAAAACACCAGTTGAAGTATTGAAAACATGGGATAGATTCTAGCAGTTTTTTAAATGCATATAAAACTGGTCTTCTGAATGAATCCGGCGCACAGGCTGTATTTCCAGTTCAGGGAATGAGCCCCAGACCTCCTTTTCATTACTGTTGAATGCACATTGCTAGTGTGATGGCCCACATTTGGTCAATCCCAGCAAGTTGATAATGACTCTCCCCGGCCCATCTCATTCCCCCCACCCTGACCTCATTGTATTCTTAGAATCTAGAGCTTTCCGATGACTCTTTTAAT